ATATTAATAATATAACGTCATGCTATAGTGTCACCCTATGCTTGTATCATGTTACTATATGTTTGTATCATGTTGCTATTGAATTTAAATTGTTAAGGAAATTTTGTAATCTCAATTTTACTTAATATACCAACGATTTATTCGTACATCAAACTTTCATATATAACTATCAAAATATATATATTTCATATAAAACTTCTGTTAATTATCAGAATATTTAATAAATGGTTTCCATATATAACTCAATTAACGATTTTCATATATAACTCAATCAACGGTTTCTATATATACTTCAATGATCTAACCTATATAACTTTCTATAATTTGACAAAACTAATACCGTTAGGGTAATTTTGAGATTTAAAAAAAATAGACTTAAATACCTACATATAAGTTTAAACGCGTACTTAACTCCAATTAAGTTCTTTCTCGGACTCAAGTCATTATAAGTACATTTAGAGGGATTCACCTTCAATTTTCACATTCCAAACAAAGTCCCAAAAAATTCCCTCAATATCTTTCTTTATATCCCTGTTCATAGCTGTTCATGGCTTTTTGGGTTTTAAATTAGATGAGCACTATGAACTGTCTCGTTGAGCAGCAAGAAATTTTTGAAAATTTTTCTTATAAATATTAAAAGTCTCATATGCATAATTTATCTTTTGTTTTTAGGGAGGGGGAGGGGAAGGGGAAGCGGGAGAGGGATTTGAACCCTATACCTCAAGAAGATAAAACATTTATGAGACAAGGAGTACCAACCATGAAATAGTATATATTTTAAGAAAAATTCTCTTTTAATCCTGAAAGTTACAAGTGAAACAAAAACAAAGATATCCCCACACAATTTTGAGAACATGGGAGAGTAATATAAATATAAATACACAGCTATACATGGATAAAAAGAGATGTTATTGGAGGGTAAGAGTAAGACCGATGACTTATGGCTTTGGGCAAATATGTCATTTTTTTCACTTATCCGGTCGGTGTAAAAAAGATTTCAACCTCCTTTGGGTTTCATTTAACTTAGAGCAACTCCAAGAGGGAGTGGCATCAGGGGTGGTAACCCCATAACTGTCAAAATATCACTCTAAATTCAAAATTTTTCACTCAAATAGTGGTGGTATCAAGGGTTAAAAATGGCATCAATGCTCTTGAAGTGACAATTTTGAAAATTCTGGAGAGAGGTTGCAAAGCTTTTCAGATTCCATTGTTCAATCTCAACGACTCTGTTCATCGACTCTATTCAACCAAAAAATTCTATAAATAAAGAGATTTTACATAGATTTTGAAAGAGAAAACTTACAAAAGTTTGCCATAAAAATCATTGTAAGCTCCTTGCTCTTGATTTTTCTTCAAACCTTGTGGTTGGTGATGGCAGATCTGGAGAAGGAGGCACAAGGAGAGGGAAAGGGGAAGGAGGCGCAGAGGGGAAGGGAAAAAAGGTGAAGGGGGAAGGGGAAGGTGATGGCAGATTTGGAGAAAGAGGCACAGAAAAAGAAAAAAGGGAAGGAGGCATAGAGGGAAGGATAAAAGGGAAGGGTCTGAATGAAGGGAAAGAGTCTAAATTAAATTAATTTTGTAAATAAAGGGAAGGGTCTAATTAAATTAATTTTGTAATTTAAATTGAATGTTTTAATTTTAATTTATTTATTTTTGTTAATTTATGGTGAATTTATTTATTTAGCTATTTTTTAATTTATAATTTCTATTAATTAAGGGTGATTTTATTTATTTTTTAATTGATTATTTATGCTCATTCTTTAAATTGATAATCATTTTTTTTAAAGATGGTCGCAATTTGATGGTTCTTTTACTGATTTACTTATGAATGATATCAATTTATATGATGATGTTATGCAGATCAATCCCACAGTATTGGCACCAATACAAAATGAAGCCGCTCCAAAAGTGAGAAAATCGCAAAGGTCAAAGAACTTCTCTCTAAAAAAAAATAAATTAATTGTGTATGCGTGGCTTAACACGAGTAAAGATGCAATTATTAGGAATGAACAACAAAGTGGTGTTTTATGGCATAGAATATTGAAATACTTAGAACTTCATGGAGGCAATGAAGAAAAGCGTTCACAAGCTTCTATTAAAAGCCGTTGAATTGATATATAAATGCAAAATGTGACAAATTTGTCAATTTTTATGGTCAAATTGAAAGACTGCGATAAAGTGGACACACCTAACAAAATAATGTAATAATTGAGCTTTTTTAGATAGACACCACTATGATTTGACATTTGAACTATTGACTGAATGATTTCATATGTTTTTCAAGTTGATGAAGCAAAAGAAATGTTTGATAAGATCATTAGAAGATCATTTCAATACGAGCATTGTTGGAATATATTGAAAATGGAGCGAAAATTGACTAATAATCTCACCAGCAATAAGATAAAAAAAAACGCATTCAATTGGTAGTCCTGCTGAATCAAATCATGTTGAATTTTGTTATTCAACTTCATATTTAAGGGATGACACTGAACCCTCGTCCACTCCCAATCTCGATAGGCCATTGGGCAGAAAGGTTTCGAAGAAACAATTTAAAAATAAAGAGAAGCAAAATGGTATTGAAGCATCACTAGATTATCACCACTGAAATCAAAAAATGGAAGTGGAACGACAAAAATTGAGCAACCGACAAAATTTATGCTCAACAAGAGATAGCATTAAAGCAACATCGTAAACAGTTAAAAATTGAAGAAAGGCAGGTGTAATAAATTGAAAGGCAAAATGAAATGAAAATGATGAAAACTGATATTACTAGCATGGACCCAACTTCTACAACATATTAGAATAATCTGAAGATAAAGATTATGAAAAAGCAGAATTTTAATTTTTAGTCGTTATTTATTATATTATGATGACTTTTGAAATTTTTACAATAAAAATATATCCGTTAAATTGTGATTGTTATGAAAACTATACCCGTTAAAATATAACTGTTAAGTTTAATTATATTTTTTAACAAAATGACACCTCATTTTAGCACATGTCATTGAAGCAGATTTATAATTCAGAGATATCAAAACACTATTCAATATTGCAAATGGGTGATTTGGCATTCCATAATGGGAACTCTCTTTGGAGTTGCTCTCACATAGATACGTGAAAGATGACTTTTCAAATTAGATCAAGATAAATCATAGTAAAATTTCTGGTACACTTTTTTACTTATCAAACGCCGGATAAATGAGCCCCACATATTTTTTTTTTCATATCCTACTGATATTATCCTTTTTAACCCATGATCCAAACACACTCATTAATTTAGCAAAAATTACATTTAAAACTCCTAAGGTTTGTCAATTAATCGTCTAGACTCCATGATATTTAAAATATTACACACAATACTCTGAAATTTGTATGCACGTATACAAAGACCATTGTCATTAATATCTGATAGTATATCTGTTAATAATTTACAGCTAAACGCTTGAAATTTGAAGCGTGTAATATTAGACCTCTCAAGTTTAAAATATTACACTTAGACTAAAAATACTCTGATTACAAATAAAATATCAAATATTTTAAATTTACAACTAAAATTCATATTTTATTATTTTATATATTAAAATAAAATTAAAAATAAAAATTTAATTTTTTCTTTAAAAAAATCATAATTAATATTGTTGATACTAAGATTTGAACGACATTAACATTAGTTTGTTGAGCTTCAATCATCTAAAAAAAAAGTTGAATATCGGAGGAGAGCTTTAAGGGGTTAATTCTTCGATGCTAAGTTAATAAGTGATATGAAGTACCATTAATAAATTTTGTTAATTTCGTTATTAATAAAAATTTAAGTATAATATTTTAAATTTAAGAAATGTAAATGTTAAACGTTTAGCGGACATCCACGATTTTGTATAATATTTTAAATATTAAATTGTCTCTCAGTTAATTTGGATGTCATTTTCCCTTTAATTACTCCCTGCGGTTCCTAACATTTCTCGATTTCCATCCCAATTCAATTAGCAAAGGAAAAAGGCAAAAAGGTGTTGTCAAGTGGCCTCCTATCGAGATCAACATTGCATCATCACCATCGTCACTACCGTCTTCTACAAAGATCGTTTGTCTCGAACCTTTACCACCCAAGCTCAACAGTTCCACTACAAACACTGATTAACAACAACAATAGTCATACAGACAAGAAGAGCATAATTATCCCAACACTATCAAGGGTGACAACCAAACCAGCAGTGAGAGTACTCTCTACATCATCAACAGCAGCAGCTACGATGGTCAAAGCTATTAGGGTTCATGAACTCGGTGGACCTGAGGTCTCTGTGTCTCTCCATCTCTCTCTCTCTCTCGTAATGTTCTGTGGTCAAGTGAGTAAGAATGGATATTTTGGAAGAGTCTGGGGCACCCCTTTATCAAAGATAACAATTACCCATTTCGGGTTTTCTATTCTTTTCCCAAATAGTATATTGTAGGCAATTATTTGCTCAGTTTCAGCTATAACGCCTTCTGATTGTTAATTTCTAAAGCCCAAAAATTGTTTTGGAATCCAATAGTGTGTCCTTTAGACTATGCGTCACTTGAGTTTTGATGTATGTAGTTATGTCTGTGATTAACTATTCGAAAGTGAGATTATACGTGAACTTATTGTTGATTATTGATTATGTAATTCCCATGTTCCTATATATGGAATTTTGGATTTTGGGTGATTCTCGATTGGGCTTTGTGTCTGCTACTTCTGCCTAGGGATAAACGATTGCAATCCCGTTTATCATCACCCGAGCATTATCCTGTTTGTTTGAGACACTATACACGATTTTATCATCGGATAATCCTGGTTGAATGGTACCTTTACATGATTTTAGACCCTTGTACGAGAAAATTCCATTTCATTTCTGGTCACTTAAATTGTTTTTTTTCGGGTAACATAACAAATTCAGTTTTGTAGTATTTGCATGTGATTAGAACATAGTTTAGTAAGTACGATGCAATTTGTTTAGGTGTTGTGGTAGGGAGTTTTCCCACCCCCACCCACCCTTCCTAGGGGGGTGGGGGTTGGGCGACATTTTTACTTAACTAAAAATTGATTCAGGTTCTGAAATGGGAGGAAGTGGAAATAGGAGAGCCAAAGGAAGGAGAGATCAGGGTGAAGAATAAGGCCATTGGGCTTAACTTCATCGATGTATACTATCGCAAAGGAGTTTACAAGGCTGCCACAATACCTTTTACACCAGGTTCATTTCTGTTTCTTCTATTACTCTGCTGAAAATTTCTTCCAATGGAAGATGGGTTCAACTTCAGCCAAAAATATTTTGTGATTGGTAATGCAACATTTTTTTAAGATAGTAAAAGAGAAAAAGGAGAGAGATTCTATTTTCAGGGATTTCTTCTAATAATTATACTGTACAGAAATGTTTCTTGCGGGTGATTCTTCACTTGCATCCTCAGAGATGGAATCCGTCAAAGAAAGCAGGTTTATCATGTTTGGACTTCGGCCCTTGAATACTCTCCAGAATCAGAAAGCCTCAACTGACCTAAGTAACCAAAAATCTTTTCAGTTTTCGATGGCCGCAACTGACCCGAGTAACCAAAAATCTTTTGAGTTCTTAATGGCTGCAACTGGCGCAAGAAATAAACATAACTCCAAATATTGAATCATCTCACACCTTCTGTTCACGTTGGGTGTGCACTTTTTCGGTATAGATTTTCTTGATTAGGAAGACAAAGCAAGTGTTCCTGCTTGATCCAATTTGTTTATATTCATCCTCTTGTCAAAGTGCTTTTCCATTAATGAAAAGCAAGAAAAGATAGATAGGTTGGATAGGAAAGTTTGTCCTGTTCTATTTTTGCTATATGATACATTGCCTCTCCGTTAACTATATAGCCTCATGTCCTTTGGTCTCAGTTCCTGCCGAAATGCGATTAACAATTATTATCATTTTGCTTTGTTTTGTGGTAATTTTTCATTTTGGGAGGATCACTATTGTTCTTCAGGGGGAAGTATGTTTTTGTCTGGCTGCCTTACATATTTTTGTCGGACTTAAATGAGTCTCTTATTAGGGACTATAAATGCAAATGTCATTTGAATCCAGAATTGGAGTTTGGTTGAGAACTAAGCTTGCAAAACATGTTAAGTTCAGGTATGGAAGCAGTTGGTGTGGTGACTTCCGTGGGTCCTGGACTAACGGGCCGGAATGTTGGAGATCTCGTCGCTTATGCTGGTAACCCAATGGGTTCATATGCTGAAGAGCAGATCCTTCCAGCAGAAAAAGTGGTGTCTGTTCCTTCCACTATGGATCCCGTTGTAGCTGCAGCTGTCATTCTCAAAGGAATGACAGCTCAATTCCTCGTTCGTCGGTGTTTCAAGGTATGTTGCATGTATACTGAACACCTTCTGGATTCTACTAAAATTGTTGGCTGTTACATTTTTCAGCCCTTGAAAGAAAAAAATGATGGTGGAGAGTGTGGTTTTGAGTATAAAAATGAATAAATTGTAAATGGTTTTAAGTAAGGCTATCTTTTTGGTTTTATTACATATTACCATTCAGAAATTTCAGTGTTAGAAAGTCATGAAATATGCATGGAATTTGGATAATAATTGAACTAGTAGGACTTTTGTCAAGAAGATTGTGCCATTTTGATTTTTGTCAGTTAATACTAAGGTATTCATACACGAATTAAGCAGCGTTACATCAAGTGTTTAGAAATATTTTATTTGCAGCATTTTTGCAGTATCATCATCCAAAGCATGACCTTATTGCTTGTACATGACGAGTGTACACATTACTTCTGCCCTAAGAAGCATGGACACGGCCAAGCAGACACGACATTTTTAAAAACAATAGAAGACGGACATGTTGGTTATACACTACAAAAAATTATAATTTATATATAACATTATATAATTTATCACAAATATAATGATAATGATATGCAATTCATAAAAGATTCAGTATTTTATGATAGGTAAATCTTATGTGTAGTTTTTAGATTAAAGCATCATAATAGTTAATAATCATCAAAAATTTTTTAGGCAATGTGTACCTAATATATAATTTAAATAATTGCTCTCATTTTCTCGATTCCTCTTTTTTTAAACATATATTTATATCTTTTTTTTATTATTATACTTGGAGTACAATTTTAACTTGTCTAGTATTATTAATTATATATTCTCAAAATTTTAAATTTTGTTTATCATATTTCAACACATGTTTATTGTTTAGTAGTAGATACGTTCTAAAGAAGTGTCGGACATGTCATTAAAGAAGTGTTGGACACGAATCTGAAATTACAATTTTTTCATTTAATTACGGATATGGATAAAAAAGTATCAAACACGTGGCCGAAGAATGTAGATGTCTGACACGGATACGTCACCTTCTCGAGAGTGTCCGTGCTTCATAGCTTCTGCCATTGTGCATGTGCTATTTGTATAATTGCCATCATAATTATTATTAGCCTTCATCGATCAATTTCTTATATCAACTGTTTGACTGGCTGTCCTGCCTTAGTCATTCAAGGATATTTTTTTTAGGTTGGGGGAGGGCGAAAGGTAGGGGAAGGGGAAAGGGAGAAGGTGCATTGTTTCAATTGTTCTGGTTATTGGGCATAGTATCAAAAAACTACAGGCATAATGAGCTGCTAAAAGTAAGGACTTCTAATGGTGCCCTATTTGGTCCACTTGTAATCCCTCTTTTTCAATTCGAGGAAATGTGAATTCCAGAAAAGACTTTCTGAAACCCTTTACAAAGCATCAAATTATTTGATTATCCATCAGAACTGTATCTATGTATGAAACATATATTTCTGTTTACATGCAACCCTCCTTGTGAAAAAGAGAGAAATTCTGGTTCACATAATCCTCTTTTGCTGGAGTTCAGTAAGCCATTGAACACTGTTCTGAGAATAATGTGGTTATGTTTGTCTCTATCCCTATCTGTTATAGGAATTATCATCCTAGTGGCAGAAACCTCATCCATTTGTACTGTTGCGTTTGAACATGAATTGATCCAAGATTTAATTTTTATTTTCTTTAAAGACATGACTGAGTTGCATAGTATGACAGGTTGAACCTGGACACACAGTTCTTGTTCATGCTGCAGCAGGTGGAGTTGGGTCTCTGTTGTGCCAGTGGGCAAATGCCCTTGGTGCCACTGTCATTGGAACTGTCTCAACCAAAGAAAAGGCAGCTCAAGCCAAAGATGATGGATGCCATCATGTCATAATGTACAAGGATGAGGATTTTGTTACCCGTGTCAATGAGATAACATCAGGCAAAGGAGTTGATGTTGTCTATGATTCTGTTGGAAAGGACACCTTTCAGGTGATGCAACTCTATTCTTATGATCATATATATACCCATTAAAATTCCAGTCATGCAGAAAATACAAAGGTAGTAACTAAATGTTTGCGTGAGTTATAGTGTGATGATGTCATCAATATGTAAGTTTGTTTTTTCTGTCACTTGATATTTATTTGAGGTTCTGGAAGTTAATTTGAGCCAAGTTTACAAAAGGGTCTTGCATTATCCCAGTTGGACATCAACTTTAAGGACCGATTGAAACCCAATATGCACAAATTAGCATAGTCATCATAGGCTGAGATTGGTCAGTCTAATTTGGTTCATGGAGCCCCAGTTGCATTTAAAATTTTCTCTAGCGGTTTCTAATTGGGATGCTGTCATGCTCAGGGTTCTTTGGCATGCTTAAAAATCCGTGGATACATGGTAAGTTTTGGGCAGTCCTCTGGTACACCAGACCCACTGCCATTGTCAGCACTTGCAGCAAAATCGCTGTTCTTGACAAGGCCCACCCTCATGCACTACAATCTAACACGGGAAGAGCTGCTTGAAACTGCTGGAGAGCTATTTGCGTGCATCACATCGGGGGTCTTACGGGTCCGTGTAAATCGCACCTACCCCTTATCTCAGGCGGCACAAGCGCATGCTGATCTTGAGGGTCGGAAAACATCGGGATCTGTTGTCCTGATACCAGATGGTGTTGACCAGTAAGTTCATAATCCCCAACTAGTCTTGTTTCCTCTGTTGTAGGAGTTGGGACAGTTGGATAGCACAAACATTCCAATGAGTGCAAGCTGTATTTGATCTGTACCCAGTGTGTGAAATGTACCACCCTAGTGTGTGAAAGCCGTTGTGCAAAATAAATAAAAATCTTGTTGATTGTAACATTTTTTTTCCTTTTAATTGGCTTGTCATGGATGTGATTTTGTTTCTTCACTGGATGCATGATTTTCCCCAGATCTGTACATGTCTAGTAAATTGATAGTGTCTCTGTCTCTTTCCTTGCATGACAATATGTTCATGGCAAGTGAATACATTGAAAATATGATTCAATAAGGCTTTGAATCTCTAATTACATAATATGAGACGAAATATAAGTTTACTTCTGGATTTTATCTAGTTGAATTCAAATTTTATCGTTGGTTTACATGACTTAGATTAGAATTCATAAACAATTTGAATTCACCATGTTTAGGTTGGGTTCTTAGAATCGAGGACCTTAATCTTAATGATTAGATAAAAATAGAGTTGGGATTTTTCTTACCCAAATTTAATAATAATACTAAATTTTTACCTTGACAATTGAATATTTCGAGTTAAGCTTGGATTTGAATCGATATGTCCAAACTATACTCTACCCAGTATAACGGGGAGCAATTCTTGTAATTGAATTAGATGTTAAAACACTTAAAAATAGATAAATCATTATGTATTTGTAAAAAATTTACTAACACTACAAGTTCCTACTTAAATTTGTAATGATGATCTAACATCGAATAAAGTTAAAAATTTATATATATATATTGAAAGTAATCCAAGCTTAAGTAGTTAAGATATCATTGTTAAACTTAAGATATCATTTATATATATATCACATCGTTAAACTTAAGATATCATTGGCGGGAAGATTGCTTAAGTCCATATATAGACTTATTTAGCTTGCAAACCATATTACTCTATCCCTCTGAAACAAAACCCTCAGGTTGTTTCATGTACACCTCTTCTTCCAGACCTCCATTGAGAAAAGTTGTTCTCACATCCATCTGGTGAAGCTCCAAGTCAAAATGAGCCACCATTACCATAATTATCCTCAAAGAGTCTTTCTTAGAAACAGATGAGAAAGTCTCATTGTAATCAATGCCTTTTTTTTGAGTGAACTCTTTGGCAACAAGCCCGGTCTTATGTCGTTCGACCTTTCCTTTACAGTCTCTTTTGGTCTTATAGACCCATTTACAGTTGACTGTTGTGGCACCAGGAGGTAGTTCAACTAAATTCTAAACATTATTTTTATCCATTGAGTTCAACTCTTCTTTCATGGCATCATACCAGTTGGAGGAATTCAAACTATTCATGGCTTGTGAGAAAGTAGTTGGATCATCACACTTTCTAATATCAAAATCGGACTCTTGAAGGTACACAATATAATCTGATGGAATTACAGATTTCTTAACCCTTGATGGCCTCCTTAAAGTTTCTTCTTGCCTCACTACACGTGAAGGTGAAGCAAGATTCTCAATAATAATGGGTTCAGTTACAGATGGTACATTAATAGTTGACTCATCCTCCGTCAAATTATTATGAATAATAGGATGAAGAATCATTACCAACTCATCTGAACTTTGCATAAAAATTAGATGTTCCTCAAAAATAATATTTTGAGGTTGTATACTCCCATTGACTTGGTCATTTTCAGGAAATTTTGTATTTCGTGTCTCTACAATCCACAGAGAATGATCAGGACAATAAAATCTGTATCCCTTGGACTTCTCTAGATAACCAATGAAATAGCCACTTATGGTTCTAGGGTCCAACTTTTTCTCTTGAGGGTTATACACCCGAGCCTCAGCTTAACAACCCCAAATGTGTAGATGTGCTAATTGGGTTTTCTACTTGTCCATAACTCAAAAGGTGTTTTAGGGACAGCCTTAGTAGGAACCCTATTTAGAATGTACACAACAGTTTTCAAGGCATCACCCCAAAAAGAGATTGGGAGAGTGGAGTAACCAATCATACTTCTAACCATATCCATTAGTGTTCGATTTCGCCATTCTGCTACTCCATTTTGATCAGGAGTGCCTGGCATGGAATCGAGCAAATGGACCTAAGTGTTGTCCGATTTCAGTGTACCTACCATAATACTCACCACCCCTGTTCGATCTCACAATTTTGATCTTTTTGTCAAGTTGTAGCTCTACCTCTGTTTTAAAAATCTTGAAAGCATCTAAGGCTTGATCCTTATAAAACAAGAGGTACAGACAACTGTATCGTGAGAAATCGTCTATGAAAGTGATGAAATATTTATGGCCTGTAAAACATGGGGGCGTGAATGGCCCATAAATAACTGTTTGTATGATATCCAACACATTCAAGCTTCTTATAGCACCTTTCTTGAACTTGTTAGTTTGTTTACCCTTAATATAGTCTACACAAGTGTCAAAATCTGTGAATTCAAGACTTGGTAAGATTCCATCATTTACTAATCCCTTGATTCTCCTTATAGAGATTTGTCCTAATCTCCTGTGCCATAAAGTGGACGAATTTTCGTTCAAAATGCCACGTTTTAATCCACAATGTTCTTTATCATGCAGGGATAGCAAAGATGTTGCAAAAGATGTATCCACAGATAATTTAAATAAATCATCCTCTAAAATACCATCACCAACCACAACATCATTCAAATAAAAACTAACAAACGAAGGTCCAAACATAACACGATAACCAAAAGAAATAAGTCTAGATACTGATAAAAGGTTTTTAGAAAATCCAGGAACATCGAAAGTGTCATGCAAATATATGATGTGGTCAGTCTTTAGAACAAGTCTGAACATCCCAACAGCTTCCAGACATGACCGCATCTTATTTCCCATAATGATGCATCATTCACTTTCCGTTGGGACCTTTTTGTTCAGCAATTCCTACATAGTATTTATTTCATATGTGGACAGTTGCACCAGAGTCAATCCACCATGTGTTATGAGGTACATTTATGAAATTTGATTCATAACACACAAAAGAAAAAAATGTACATTTCTTCTCGAGTCATTTCTTATACTTGATGCAGTCTTTCTTTGCATATCCCTTTTTCTTGCAAAAAAAACATTTGAAGTCCTTTTGCCTTCCGATTTGGCTGACACCTTCATGTTTTTTTCTTAATTGGAACATGGTAGCTGCTACTACCTGCTTCCACCTGTCATTTCCCTTTATGAGAGGTCAAATGGACACTTTTTTGCCTCTCTTGCTTCAGTATCTGTTCTTCATCAACACACATGGTCAAAAGTTGATTCATAGACCATTTCTCCTTATGTGTGTTGTAAGAGATCTTAAATAGAGCATACTCTAAAGTTAGAGTATTAAGGACAAAGTGGACAAGAAATGTCTCAGATATGTCAACTTCCAGTGATTTAAGTTGGGCAGAGATGTCACGTAATTCTATAATGTGCACGTGTATGTCACTGTGACCATTATACTTCAAAGAAGCAAGCTTTGAAATCAGGGTGCTTGCAAGTGCCTTTTAAGAGCTCACAAATTGCTCCTCAATTGCAATCATGAACTCTTTAGCAGTTTAGGAGTCCGGAATGGAGCCTCTGATTTTCCTTGAGATATGACTTTGCATGAGTAGGAGACTGAGGCAGTTAGACCTCTCCCACTTCTCATGCAACTTTTTCTCCTCAGGCGCACTGAATTCTATAGGGATAGGCGGCCTATCCTCACGAAGCGCCGTGTCAATCTCCATACACTCCAAAGTAAAGATAATTTTATCTTTCCATTCCGAGAAATTTAAACCATTAAGGAAAATGATATGAGATGCAGATTGAGACATAAGATTAGGGAGTAAAGCTGCAAAATAAAACATTAGATGTTTACAATTAATATGCATGCTAATAATCACACTTAAAACTTTATCCAAATTATTAACTCATATTAGCAAATTTAGTGGTAAATCACTTTATACAACATTATAATGATTTACCTAACGATGAAACTAACGGCATAAAGCATCATAGAAAAATAGAATTCAAGACCTTTGGGTAACAAGAATTCAACTTAGCCACAATACCTCAAACCATTATTTCATCCCACCGATCACTTATGATATAATAGTTTCCCTTTGGGGTAAAGTCATTATATAATATGATGCAAGCGTTCAATGTCATAGATAAACACAAAATTTCTTTATTGATAAATTTTCATATATTTTAAAATTATGGGATGCTTTGGCTCGTCACCGTAAAATTAAAATAAATATAATTTTATCAAACATAAGTTTCTATACACAAGATGTTTTGGCTCGTCATTATGTATAGAATATTCCGAATCATGACATATGAACAAATAATTTTATCCATATGAATCCAGTAATTAAAATAATTAAATTTTACCTAAAATTAGATTCGGATAAATTTTTCATGACTAAAATGTCAACAAAACAGTGGCACAAAGTCATCAAATAGAGCAAATATACTGTTAAAAAACATTGGAAGTCTTTATCTATGCATCATACCCATTAAACAACAACATCCAGTACGGGAAAAAGACAATATATGTAATCTATCAAAACATGCTTTGACTATTCAAAGTCTTAAACATCCAGAGCATTCATCATTTGTGTGCAGCAAGAAGAATTTAATAAATATTATCTCTTCTTTTGACAAAATGTCATATGCCACACTAAAAGTTTTAATAATAAAATATTACCCATTCAAGATGTTTTCATGCTTTGTCCACTAAGTATTTATTATGCATTCAAACACACAGAGAGGTCAAGCAACGCAATTTCATCTTTGACAGTCCCGACAGCAACAATTCATAGACAGTCTATGCGTGAACTATGACAATCAGCAAAAATCGAAATTTCTTTATCGAAATTTGCACAATTTCGGTAATAGGAATCAAAAAAATTCGGTAACTCATAAAATTTATTTCTCACAAATTGATCATACGAATAAAATAAATACTAAGAACCAAATCTCATGACCAGGCTTTGACACCAACTGATAGACCTAATGGTCTTAAACAGATCAAATAGAAAACTAGCCTTGACTCACGGGATCCATAACAATGATTCTTGATGCGAAAATCTCCACAAAAAGAATACCAAGAATACCGAATATAATTACAAACGTGATTCCCAAGTAGATTGCAGATAGATTTTTCCAGAGAGGGAGAGATACTACAAGCGTGAATAAGAGATGGGGTCTCTCAAGTAATTTATATCCCTTTTACTGGTAACCAACTGCCTCACGTTAAAATAATCAGTAACAGTTCCCTCCCATCAAGGTAACTTCTAGGAAACTGACTATTT